AAAAAAAAAAAAAAAAAAAAACATAATAAGAACCCAATGAAAGGGGAACAAATGAGCAAGTGGATGTATTCATAGATGCATTAGCTTTATCCTTTCTTCTTTCTCTTTTTTTTAAACCTTTCCCTCTCATTTTTAACACCATCTTATTCTTTTCTCATGCCGACTCCTTCTTTTATGTGTAGGCATTTAAAATATACTTGCCATATGGTCTTTTGCCCAATAATTGTATCTTCTGGAGTTCTAGGAGGGGAGCTAATCCTGTTGTATATCGTGTCTGTTCACTTTCATTCATGACAGGTTGTTTCCTCTTATGTTTTGTAACTGTGGGCTTTGAACTCAGGTTCAGAGGGCCTTGTCAGTGGGAATCCCCACAACCAGGTTTGTGGGTGTCTCTCTCTAGAGAGGTTTTGTGTCTGCTCTGCCAAGAGTACTTCAGGGGTATTACTAACCCTGGACCACATTATTTGTTAATTTTATTTGGGCTCCCTGGACCATGCAGATGGTATAAATTGGAACCCCAAATCTAAGTGAGGGCAAGTCTTTGGTTATGAATTCTCAAGGGAGGTCTTTTATTGTCACCAGATCTCAGGATGAGACAGACAAGGTCCCTCTATGCTCCCTGGGCTGAGGGCAGATTTTTTTTTAGTCTACTCTTTTACTGTAGCTGTCACCTTTTAAGAATACAAGCTTTCTATTAGGGTCTCAGTTGTTAACTCCCAGGCAAGGCCTCCTCTCTAATCTCCAGGTGGGCATAAGACCCAAGCCCCTTCACTGCCAAGATCCACGCTGCCCAGCAGCTCACACAGCTCTGGTGTTTGACTTCCTCTTCACGCCTCGCAGGGACCCCTTGATTTCCTGTGGCCCAGCTGTGCTTGCAAAGGACGTTTGCTTGATTGGATGCAGCACTTGTAGGTGCCTCATCGTGGGGACGTGCTTGTCAGGTTATTCCATCCACAATATCACAAAAAACACCCAGGCTACTTCTTCATATAAACAAGTTCAAATCTCTCCCACCCAGCAGTCTCTTGCCTTTTTGGCACCAGGGACCAGTTTCATGGAAGACAATTTTTCCATGGACTGGGCAGGGGGTGGGGGCAGTTCCAGGATGATTCAAGCGCATTACATTTATTATGCGCTTTATTTCTATTGTTATTACGTTGTAATATATAATGAAATAATTACACAACTCACCCTAATGCTCGCTCACCTCCTGCTGTGCGGCCCGGTTCCCAACAGGCCACAGACCGGCACTGGCCCCGGCCTGGGGGTTAGGGACTGTAGCTCTATCCTTCGCACATAGCGCGACCTATCACCTTCTTCACAGCCAAACTTCTGGAAGGTGCTCTCTCTCCTAGTTGTCTACATTTGCTCATCTCCCCACACTCTGCACCCAGCTGCAGGCTTCTGTGCACTTCCAGCATGCTACAGAAACTGCCTTTTCCAAAACCACGAACTGCACATTTTAATCAAAGGACACCCTTAAGCCTCCTGCAGGCAGCATTAGACATTTCTCTTCCTGAAACTTTCTCTTCCTGTGGCTTCTGTGACTCTGCACATGCCTGCTCCCCGCTGCCCCCTGCCATCCTTTCTGACTTTCCTTTGCTGGCTGCCCTCTCGGAGGTCAGCCCTGGCCTGCCTTCACCCTCGCTCCACGCGCTCTTCCTGGGAAACCTCACCCACGCCCCTGGCTCAATTGCTACCTCCTACCCTGACAATCCCCACGTTGCTACCTCCGCCTGTGGCAGATATGGTTCTTCTGTGTCTATTCTCCCATTATTCTAAAGAAACACCATTTGTAACTGGGCTTGTGGCTGCCCAGAAGAAAGGCTGCATTTCCTGGGCTCCCTTGTAGCTAGGGGCAGCCATGTGACTGGGCCTGGCCCCTCTTCCTCACCCCCCCCTTTTTCTTTCCTGCTGGTTAGAATCCTGACATGATGGTGAGACATCGTGGAGGAGGGCAAGATCCCAGGGATGGCTGAGCAACAAGATCGAAGGAGCCTGAGTCCCTCAGCATTATTACATGACAGAGAACTAATACTTTCTTTTGTATAAATTACTATCACTCT